AAAATTCTCAGGAATAAGTAGGAATTAGGTTAGGGCCCCTTTAAGAAATCTGACAGGGAAAAAAGCTGGAATAGAATAACCACGTGACCTTGGAAAAAGCGGGAAAAATCATGTGACCTGGAACATTCTGGAATTTTTGGGGGCTCGTTATATAAAGGGCACTCCGTGACAGAATTCTCACAGTTGGTCAGAGTTGGCAACAGGCTCCAGGGGGCTATAATGCTAAGGAGCCCATTTGCGCTAATCCTGACCACAAAGACCCTCAAGTTTTGGAGCAAGCCGGGAGCAGCGGAGGAGAAGAATGGCTGTGGTGCTGCCTTGATATGGCAGCTGAAGGGGAAGAGCGACAGGAGCAAGAGCCAGAACACAGAACAGGGGTCGGAGAACTCACTGAAGCAAAGCGCTGGCAAAGGAAGAGCGGCCAAATGGAGCCTGTCACTGAAGAGTGGGAGTCGGTGTGGTCCCAGCGGTTGTCCGGCATCGTCAGCAGGGCAAGAGGAGTCCGGCCAAGCATCGGAAGAAGCGATGGTCGGAAGAGCAAGCCAGTGTGAAAAGAGGAAGAGGCGGGTTCCTTCTCTGTCGACAGAGTAAGTAGGCGTGGAAGTCCAGCGGCATCCCTCAGAGCTGAAAGTGAGGTTGTGGCCTCCAAAGAGATCGCTAGGCAAGAACCTCAACTCGAGCTCAGGAAAGAGAAACGAGCCTGTGCATGCAATACCAAATTTATCCAGTGGTGGCAGCAGAGGTCAGTACAGGGCTCCAGTGGATCCAGAAATCGAAACAGCGACATCTTTTAGAAATGGTTAGATTAACAGCTTATTAAAAATATTAGATTCCATTACAAAACTTACTAACAATTTAAACAAAAATGTTAATAGTGATTAGTTGTTAAATAGTAGTCATGCTAATGTGTGGGTTAATAAGGATATTAATGTTAATATTAATGATAAATTGCCTAGTAATTTAGGTAGCATGAGCATAGAAAAAATATTACGGGAATGAATATTAGTTTGTCAATACCAGAAACATGTTTGAAAGAAGTTTTGCAATGTGAAATATCCCCACTGGGATATCATTTATCAGTGCAATTAAAAGAAAAAATATGGAAAGGAGAATTTGTGGATATTCTGTCATCGTTACCCTCAGCAAAAGATTTCACAGGCAAAACAGATAGAAAATCCAATAATGAAGTTAGGCATAGACCAATAGCGAGATCATTTCAAAATTGGCTACAAGCTTTTGCAATATATTCTAGCGTGCTAGGGGGGAAAAACACCCAGAGCATTGCAGTGGATTATTCCAACATTTGGAACAAGTTTAGGAGGCCTATAAAAATTTCGGAGGAGTAGGATGGTATCATTACAACAAATCTTTCTGGCAAAAACTATCTATATATCCATCACTAAAATGGGGTATGAAGGATGTAGGCTTGTGGCTAAACTTAATATTAACTCAAAAACAGACATTTCAAAAACCACAATCTTCCGTCACAGTATCCCCTTATAAAAGAGGATATTGTTACTCATTCAATGAAAGTCAATGTAAGTGGGCAGGGTTATGTAGGTACAAACACAAATGTTTGCATTGTTCAGGCCCACATCCATTTCTTAAATGTTTCAAAAGAAACATGGTTTTTCAAGGACAAAGAGAGCATGTATCAAAAAGCCAGCACACCAGTGAATTTGAAAAACATGCGCCAATGGCTGGAAATGTATCCAAACAAGGAGACAGCTAAGTTTTTAACAGACGGTTTTATGAAAGGTTTTTTGTTACCAATATTTTAAGGTTATGGATGTAATATTGTTGATCATTTAAAGTCGGCAGATAAATTTTCACATATTGTTAGAAGAAAATTAGAAACAGAAATAAAAGAAGGACGCATGGCTGGTCCTTTTAAGGAACCACCTTTTCATAATTTTAGGATATCGCCACTGGCTATTATTCCTAAAAAAGAACCAAATACGTATCGGCTTATTCCCCACCTATCATTCCCAAAAGGCTTTTCTTTAAACGACGAAATAGCTGAAGGATTAGCGTCAGTATCATATTGCAAGTTTGAAGAAGCCGTTCATAAAATAAGAACGTTTGGAAAATGAGCATTGCTAGCCAAGGCAGATATAAAGGCAGCATTTAGGCTATTTACCTATTAACCCAGAAGCATTTAACTCATTGGGTATCCATTTTGAAGGTCAATTTTACTACGATAAAAGTTTACCAATGGGCTGTTCACTGTCTTGTGCATATTTCAAAATATTTTTAAAATGATTACAATGGGCTATTGAAAAGAAATCAGGCCAGAATGGAATAGCTCATTATCTGAATGATTTTTGTTTATAGGCCCAGCATTTTCGACAATATGTGTAGACATGCTGCAAATGTTCAGTAAGGTAATGCAGCATTTCAGTATACCATTAGCAAATGAAAAAATTATTTATCCAACCACAAAATTGGAATTTTTAGGAATATTGATAGACACAGAAAAACTTGAACTTCGACTGCCAAAGAGAAAAAATAGAAAAATTGACAACAATAATGGGTTTTAAGAAGAAAAAAAGTATTATTAAAAGAATTACAGTCATTATTAGGCCTATTGGTATTTGCATCTAGAATAATGAGAGTGGGAAAAATATTTATTTAGTGATTTCAAGTTTAAAATCTCCTTTCTTACATGTAAGATTAACCTGTGAATTAAAGGAGGCTTTAGTGGTGTGGTTAAAATTGTTTGAGGAAGATAATGGTTGTTAGTTTTTTTCAGGATAAATTTATCTTTGCAACTGATTTTGAATTGTTCACTTATTCAGCTGGCTCATTTGGTTTTGCGGCAATATGGAAATAATTTTTCCTCTAATAGTAGCGTTGGAATTATGGGGAGAGCACTTTTCAAACAAAAGGCTGTTAGGACAGACAGATAATAAAGGGGTTATGTATGCAGTAAATTGTTTATCAAGTAGGTCAATTTTTGTGGTAAAATTGCTTAGATATTTAGTTTTGGAATGTTTAAAACTTAATACTTGGATTAAATCAAGATATGTCCCAGGAAAGAAAATCAAATAGCTGACACTTTATCTCGATTCCTGATATCAAGATTCAGACAGTTATTTCCGACAGCAGATTTAAAAGGTTTCGAGTGCCCAGATTACCTGTGAAACCTGATTTAAACTTAGTGATAAAGGCCATATAAAATTCGGTAGCTAACAGCACATGGGTTGAATATTCATCTTCATGGAATAAATGGCAGCAGTTTTCCAGAGAATTGGGTTTTCAGTTCGATTCCCCATCTGAGAATACAATTCTTTCTTTTTTGTGCTCGTTAATGCACATGAATTTTGCTTATAGCCATATAGTTACAATTCTAGCAGGAGTTTCATTTTTCCTCAAGTTAAGTAATTTTCCAGTATGTACATCATTCTTTTCAGGGAAACAATCAAGGGATATAAAAAACAGCATTATTCTCCAGACACAAGACGTCCCATATCTATGGAATTGTTAAAAAAGTTATGTAGGATTACCAAAGAAATTTGTTTTTTAGAATTTCAATCTATACTGTTTAATGTGGCATTTACTCTAGCATTTTTTGGAGCATTACGCATATCAGAACTATTGCCCCCAAATAAAAATGTCTGGTCTGCTATTACAAAATGTGATTGTTTTGGAAAATGGAATTAGTTTGTTTATTCCATTTTCAAAAACAGATCAGGCTGGAAGAGGAAAATGGATCAATCTTTATACTTGTAGAGACATGCATATTTTCCCTTTCATCATGGTAAAAAAGTATTTGAATATTAGACCAGCCAGCCCAGATCTTTTTCTGGTGCATGCTGATGCATCACCTTTCACTAAGTATCAATTTAATGCCATATTTAAAGACATTAAAAAATTAGGTCTTATACAATTTAAATTCACATCTCATTCGTTTAGAATAGGTGCTGCTACGGAAGCTGCAAAAATGGGCTTAGATGATGAAATAATAAAGAAATTAGGTAGATGGGAGTCACAACGTTTCCAATTATATGTTAGACCTAACCTGTCTGTTTAATTCTTCAGGTGATAGAAGATATATATGGATACTGGGACATTCATTTGTCTACTGGGCTTTGAAAAGAGCAGCTCAGCGTTCATATTCAGCTAATTTAACAATGGATCCGGCAAAAATTCAAATTTTATGGAAAGTAATATGTGATCTTAAACGGTTTAACTTGTTTTTTCATCTTTCTAGGTTGTTTGAAGTTTGGCCTGCACCTGAGATATTAATCATACACCTTGGGGGAAATGACATAGGCAATGAGAAAACTCAAGAACTAATGTTCATGATGAAATGGGACTTACACCGTTTCCACTTATCATCCCTGAATACTACCATTATCTTTTCAGAAGTAGTCCCTAGACTTGTATGGTTAGTTAATCCTCAATTTAAAAATTAGGAGACGACTAAACAAGTCTATGGAAAAATTCATGCCTCTGATAGGTGGAATTTCATACCGTCACATGGATCTAGAAGGAGGAGTTGGTGACATTTATCGTTCAGACAGTGTGCATCTATCGGACATGGGTATAGACATCTTTAACCGCCTCCCGCCCGCCATATAAGGAAATGATGGGCGCAAGGCGGTTCTCACGTTGTGGGAGGATGTCATATGCAATCCTCCCACTCTAACCACGCATGTGCGGCTCCGGGGGCGTGCAGCGTAGCGATCGGTGGTGCGCTGTGCCCATCAGACATAAAGGATCACCGATCAACGGAAAGAGCTGAAGATATTGGCTCGGTCATGTGATCAGCTGTATCCAATCACAGCTGATCACATGTAAATATGGCAATTCCGGTTATCAGCATTTCTCTCCTCACGAGCTGTCACGCTGACAGATTGTGAGGAGAGGAGAGCCGGTAATCAGCACTCCTCAGAGGGGACATGTACACTGATCATCAGGGCACTGATGGGTATTGATGGGCATATCAGTGCCCATCTGAGCTGCCTTTCAATGTCACCTATCAGTGCCATCTATCAGTGCTGCCAATCAGTGCCGCCTATCAGTGCCAGTCATTGCTGCCTATCAGCGCCAGTCAGTGCTGCCTATCAGTGCCGCCTAACAGTGCCAGTCAGTGCCACCTAACAGTGCCAGTCAGAGCCGCCTATCAGTGCCACCTATCAGTGCTGTCTATCAGTACCATATATGAGTGCTGCCTTTCAGTGCCCATCAGTGAAGCTTGTCAAAGCCCATCAGTGCCACCTACCAGTGCCTCCTCATCAGTGCCCATCAGTGCCCATCAGTGCAGCTTATCAGTGCCCATCACTGCAGCCTCATTAGCGCACATCAGTGAAGGAGAAAAATCACTTATTTATAAAATTTTAAAACAAAAACTAAGAAAAAACTTTTTTTTTCAAAATTTTCAGTTGTTTCTGGTTTGTTTAGCAAAAAATAAAAAACCTAGAGGTGATTAAATTCCACCAAAAGAAAGCTCTATCTGTCTCAAAAGAATGATAAAAATTTCATATGGGTACAGTGTTGCATGACCGCGCAATTGTCATTCAAAGTGCGACAGCGCTGAAAGCTGAAAATTGGCCTGGGCAGGAAGGGGGTGTAAGTGCCCTGTAGACTAGTGGTTGAAGAGGGGTTATTAGTTTGCTTTCACATTGATCCACAGGTGCGGTGCAGTGCACCTGTAGCTTTCCTGCGGGTAACTGCACTGAACCATAGACTTCTATTCAGGGGTGGACTGACAACTCATGGGGCCCCCGGGCAATAGGGGATCATGGGGCCCCTGTGTCCTTGCCCAACTCAAAAAAGCCTATGAAAAAGGTACCAGGGGCATCTCATGGGGCCCCCTACTGACCCCGGGCCCTCGGGCAGTGCCCGAGTTTTCAAATGGTCAGTCCACCCCTGCTTCTATTATATGCTAAGAGTTTGGTGCTCTTCCTGAAAGTGCACCCTAATTCCTGAATGCAGGATTTTTTGCACCATACCTGCAACATGTCCCTGGCAAACTGCAGCTAACCCACAGGAAAGCCACAGGTGCACTGCACTGCACCCACGGTGCAGGTAAAAACCATAGTGTATCAGTGTGAAAGCAGCCTTATGAGGAGCTCAGGACAGTAAGGGCTCCTTTACATTTGCGGTTCAGGTAGGAGCAGTAAAACCCCATAGTTGAGACTTGTTTTTACCATCCCTCCAATCACCAACCCTGCCATATGCTCCAGGGGGCCCATGTGGGTCTGTACTTGGACAGGAGGGGGCAGCGAGGTGGCATATACTGGATCTGTTCCTCTCCATTTTTCTCCAGCAAAGGCTAAAAGCTAGCTTCTCTTCCTCTCCTTCCCACTCGCACTCAATGACTGCAGGAGGAAAATAATCTTGATACTATTCAAAATGAAAAAAAAAGTGAAATTCTGAAACATTTCATTTCACTGTGGCCCACAAACGGTTACCAAATTACTTAAGTGCCCTTCGCTCCTCGAAAAAGGTTCCACACCCCTGAGCTAAAGGAACCTGTTAGAGCCAGCAGCCATCTCCCTGTAATGTAATCAAGGAAGATGGTTACATGGGAAAGCCCATGCAGGAGGGGAGGATTAGAGGGGAACAGGACAACACTGGATCTGCTGAGTCTGTAAGTATGCTATCAATGCATTAAAAAAGCACTGAAGGTAAATGGAGGAAAAGAAAAACATTCTCATTGTGAGGGTGACGTTCCTTTTTAAAAATGTTTTTAGAGGTCCATTGCCAGCATCCACAAAAGCATTATAGTTTGTTGTGACGCCTGTCACTTTTACTTTTGCTTGACAGCTTGGTTTGCATGTAAATATAAAGGAAACTTTACAGGCATGTTAAATAAATGAATATTATGAATACTATCTGTAGAATGTGCTAAGTTTGTTGGGCCTGGATTTCTGACCACAAAATTGTACTCCTACTTCCAGCTGGGCCCACAAATATAGTGGATAATAATTTAATTGGCTTCGCCCTGAAGATAAATCAATGACACTCCTTCACCAATATTTGATAGCTGGTTTATTACTTCTATATTCCTCAATCTGCAGTCTGTTCACCCCGAAGGCATTTGTCAGTTTAACATCAAAGTGCATGGAAATCAATTTTACCAGCTCCAACACTATCATTATATATATTTATTGCTCACAGTCGTACGACTACAATGCGTTTCATGATTGTGGTACCTGTTTGACTTTATTTTTTAATGAGACAGCACACATACCTGTAAGCCCCTCTATAATTTACTGTTCCTGACAAAAATCAGGTTGTATGTTACTAAAAGTAAGTGACTGGACAGGATACATTTCATTGTATCTTCTGATTAAAACAAATAGGAAATGTTTGTAGTGATAGTATTCGAGTGCCTTTCTACTCAGAATCAAACTGCCATATGGGTCTATAGTCATGACTAATGCACCATAGATAGGCTTGTCCACTCTTACTTCCACCATTACCGATCCATACAACTCCCCACCCCTTAACCAATTAAACTTTACAAAAAAAATGACACCATTTGGAGTAAAATGGCCAACATGGCCTTTTATTAACAACTCACATTTTAAATACATCAACCGTTCCTTATAACGGAAACCAAAGAATTGTTGTTGGTCTTCGAAGGCACCCCCAAAAGATCCGAAATGCACCTGCGGACAACCATATACACTAGGCCTCCAGCCGCAACCAACCAGCTCGGAGACAACCATACTGTCCGCAGTGAAGCACCACCACCTTCCAGTTAAACCTTGGTTAACTGGGAATGTCCACCGGGCACCCCATACCACCGATGGGTCCCACACCATTGTTTTACCTTCCAAGATGAGAACCACCTCCAAAGACCAACAACCGCCCGCGAACCAACATAAGCCCCCTTTTTTTTTTTTTTTCCTTCCTTCCCCCGGGAGGGACCCGATACCCAACAAAACAGGGAGGGCGGGAGGGAAGCTCTGATCCTTCCTCACGTCCAGCTCCACTGACGCCCCCTCCACAGAACCCCCCACCCTAAGGTGCCACAGACCCCTCCTACACTCCACCTCTGCCAACCAGATTATCCCACAATCAAATCCCAACCCCCTGGAGCTAACTTTAACCCTTTCCGTTCCCCTTCACCACTCTGGGCCTAGTCATGCATGCCCTGCGCTATTTTCATTCTTTCTTATCCGCTTTTCTTGACAAATGTTGGAAAATAAAAACTGCATGCTCCTCGTAGTGAACATGCTAACTGAACAAACAACGCAATGGTGAACCCAAAGGAAAGGCTACTTTATCCAATTATTGGAAATAATTTCTATTTTATGGAGTACACTGGCAAGAATCTCTTCACTTAGTAGGTCAATATACTTTGCTGTGGTGCTACTCCAAGCCATATATTAGACAGGTATGAATTTTCCAATATGTCCATGCCCATCCTCCTACACTGACTTTGACAGCTGTCAGTGACTCCCTGTAAACCTCCATTTACCTCCATGATTGATAGATACTACTTGAGGAAACAGCAGGTCAGCGAATTAGCACACCAGGAATGCTGGTAGAGCCTGGCCTGTTTCTGTTGACTTGCACTAATATGTGATCTGTCTGCAGTAAGCTATGATCATTATAATGATAAAGGTCAGGATGTCTGCAGGCTGCCACTGACAGACATCAAATTCAAAGTAGAAAAGCCAGTGGGAAGATTCTGGACCTTTACTCCTGTTAAGGAGCACCCTGAAAAATATATTTCTTTTTCACCTATCTTCTGACCAAAAACAGCTGAGAACAGTTTTATTAATATGAAGTTAAAAATATGCAAACTCTGTCCTTTTATTTCATAATCACCTGACCAGTTTATCATCCTCTGCAGGGCTGATGGTGGTATGAAGCTGGTGACACCATGACAGCTTCAAGTTTTAAAGTCCCAGCTTCAAGAAATGATAACTGTAAGCCTCTATATAAGAAAAAAATTGTAAAACAACACTTCAGGGCAGGCTGTTGAGCATCACAACAGGAGCTTGGAGGCATGCTGTGCAAAGGCATAGTTTCCTGTAGTCCCAAAACAGGAGCGCACATAGTGGAGTGTGCAGCCCATAGTGTTGTTACCCTATAGCACAAAGTGCTCAGAACTGGCAGTAGCCAAGAATGTTTTGTTATTGTAAAGTGCAGAAGCATTGGAACCTCTATTACTTTTTTTTTCCAGTTTGTGTCTCCAATGGAGTTTTTCCAATTTAAAACTTAAAGAAAAGGGGGCGCATGCGTGGCATCCAAGATGGTGGACGTGTAACGGGTCCTCAGCCTGCAAAAGCCTCCCAATCCTCTTCTGAAGCTGCCACAGACCCAGGAGAGCTCTCTTTCAACTCGGGATGACCACGAGCTCACACATGGAATAAATCGGGCGGTGGAAACCACCCACGCTACCTCTTCCGGACCCAAGGTCTTCCATGCTTGATCGCTTCTTCACCAGGCCTGCATCCCCGGCCTCGAGATGGCGGACGTGTAACGGGTCCTCAGCCTGCAAAAGCCTCCCAATCCTCTTCTGAAGCTGCCACAGACCCAGGAGAGCTCTCTTTCAACTCGGGATGACCACGAGCTCACACATGGGAAAAACCACCCAAGCTACCTCCTCCGAACCCAAGGCCTTCCATGCTTGATCGCTTCTTCACAAGGCTTGCATCCCCGGCCTCGAGTAGTTGCAGTGGCCCGAGCGAGTGCTCCGCAGCGCTTACTGAAATGGCAAGGACAGACACAGACACTGCAGCCACCCAGCCTCCTACGCCTCCACCCTCCTACCTGACGGTGGACTTACTGGAGGACAAACTACAGGTATTTCTACACAATATTACCCGCAGTATCTCCGCCAAAATTGGGAAATTGGCTCTGGAGCTCAGGGGGGAGAAAACTCAACTGGGGGATTGCACTGACCACTTTGAAGCAAAATTTGATGAATTGGTACAATACGTACATGTCTTGGAAGAAGATGATGCAAATTTGAAACATTCCGTACTCAATTACAGCTCCAACATAACGATCTGGAAATCAGGAAACACTGCCATAATATTTGTGTTCGTAGCATCCCTGAATTGGTCCCTGACCCCCAATTTACATGTTATTTGCTGTCTCTGTTTACTACTCTGGCCCCTAAGGTCCCAGATATTGATTGATGTATGAACCGGGCCCCCAGATCTTTAGGCCTAAAGCCTCCTGACGGTACTAGGCCCAGAGACGTTATCATTTATTTTCATTACTTTGACAGCAAAGACGCCTTGCTCAATTCTACTCGCAACAAAGCCTCCTTGGAATTCAAAGGGGACAAACTCCAGATTTTCAGTGACCTATCCCCCATCACTTTGGCCAAGAGGCCTATCGGTTGGGGTTCCCTTTTAAGCTTGTTGTCTCCAAG